TGAAACGAAGAGCTGGTTCTTTGAGACATTTAACAAGATAGATAAATCCTATCCAAACTAAATAAAAGATGGAGAGAAAATATCCAAATTAACAAAATTAGAAATAAAAAGGAAGACATAATATCAGACACTGAGGATATCCAAAGAATCATTAGATCATACTTTACAAAACTTTATTCCACAAAATTGGAAAATCTAAAAAAAAAAAAGTGATCATTTTCTCAATAGATACCACTTACTAAAGTTAAATCAAGAGCAGATAAACAATTTCAATAGACCTATAGCCTATAAGGAAGTAAAAGCAGTCATTAAAATTCTCCTAGCAGAAAAAAGCCCAAGGTCTTAGCACAGAATTCCACCAGACTTTCTAAAGAGAGTTAACACCAATATTCCTCAAATTAGATCACAAAATAGAAACAGAAAGAACATTGCCAAATGCATTTTATGAGGCCACAATCACCCTGACACCCAAATCAAAGATTTAACAAACAACAAGAATTACAGACCAATTTCCCTCATGAACACACATATAAAATTATTCAATAAAATGCTTGCAAACTGAATCCAAGAATACATCAAGAAGATCATCCACCGTGATCAAGTAGGCTTCATCCCAGGGATGCAGGGATGGTTCCATATGTAAAAGTCAATAAATGTAATCCACCAAACAAACAAACTGAAAGAGAAAGAAAGAGATCATCTCATTAGATGAAGAAAAGACCTTTGACAAAATCCAACAGCATTTCATAATAAAAGTCCTAGAGGGATTAGGGATATAAAAGACATACCTAAACATAATAAAGGCAATTTGCAAGAAGCATATAGCCAACATCAAGTTAAATAGAGAAACTCAAAACAATTTCATGAAAACCAGGATCTGTAGGATTAACATAGTAAAAATGGCCATTTTACCAAAAGCTATCTACAGATTCAATGCAATCCCCATCAATAATCCAGTTCAATTCTTTATATACCTTGAAAGAATAATTCTCAACATCATATGAAAAACATAAAATCCAGGATAGCGCAAAGAATTCTGAACAATATAAGGATTTCTGGAGTACTGCCCTTAAGCTCCCCTGGACTGCTTCATCAGAGGCTGTTCAGGAGGCCTGACACTGGGAGCTCGCACTCACAGCTATAGGACTGCAGCTATGGCCTGTGTCTTCATGGGCACTGCAGCCACCCTGTTCAAGAAGGACAAGCTGGAAGTCTGAGAGTTCTTTGCCACCGCCAAGGTGTAAGCCAAACCCCTTGCGCAAATAAACGTTATATGTATGTCCCTGGGGAGGGGTAGAATTTCTATAGGTATCGCCATCTCTGATTTCAAAGTATATGACAGAGCTATAGTCATAAAATCCTCATAGTATTGGCATAAAAGCAGACAAATTGACCAAAGGAATTAAATGGAAGATGCAGCAGTAAATACACATACTTATGGACACTTGATTTTTGACAAAGAAGCCAGAAATATACAACAGCAAAAAGAAAGCATCTTTAACAAATGGTGCTGGTCTAACTGGATGTCTGCATGTAGAAGAATGAAAATAGATCCATATCTATAACCCGAGACAAAACTCAAGTTCAAGTGAATTAAAGACCTTAACATTAAACCAGGCATAGTGAACCTTACAGAAGAAGAAGTAGGGAATAGCCTTGAACACATTGGCTCAGGAGACAACTTCCTAAATAGAACACTAATGATACAGGCACTTAGATCAACAATTAATAAACAGGACTTCATGAAACTTAAAAGTTTCTTCTTTAAGATAAAGAACACTGTCAATAAGACAAAATGGTAGCCTACAGAATAGGAAAGGATTTTCACCAACTCCACATGCAACAAAGAGCTAATATATCTGAAAAATATAAAGAACTCGAGAAACTGGACATCAACAAACCAAAAAATCCAGATCTAAACAGAATTCTCAATAGAGGAATATCAAATAGTTGAGAACCCCTTAGAGAAGTGTTTATTATCCTTAGCCATCAGGAAAATGCAAGTTAAAAGTACATAAAGAATCCATCTTATCCATCTTACACACATTAGAGTCCCTAAGATCAAACACTCAAGTGACAGCTCATGCTGCTGAGGATACAGAGCAAGGAGAACACTTCACTGCTGGTGGGAGTGCAAACGTGTACAACTACTATTGAAATCAATATGGCTGTTCCTCAGGAAATGGGAAATCAATGTATCTCAAGACCCAGATGAACCAGTCTCGGGCATATATCCAAAAGGTTCCATCCCACCAGAAGGACACTTGTTGAACTACGTCCAGAACAACTTTACTCATAATAGCTAGAAACTGGAAAAAAACTAGGTGTCCCTCAGTAAAGAATGGAATTTTTAAAACATGGTACTATTTTTTAGGCTATTTTTTAAATGACATCATGAAATTTGCAGGCAAATGGATGGAACTAGGAAAAAAAATCATTCTGTGTAAGGTGACTCAGATCCAGAAAGACAAACATAGTAACTCACTTATAAGTGGGTATTAGCTGTTAATTAAAAAATAACCTTACTACAATACACAAACCAAGAAAGACTAAATATCAAGGGTGAGGGGGACATGAATCTCCTTGGGAAGGGGAAATATATCTTGTGGGTGAACTAGGTGCCAGGTGGAGAGAGGATCAAGTTGGGGGTGGGTAGTTTCAAGAGTGAATACAGGAAGAAATGACTGGAACTGTGAGATTTGGGACAGCAATGTGGAAACTTAGTGAAATGGAAACTCCCTATAATATACAAGGATGACCCTATCGAAGACTTCTAGTAATGAGTGATTACTGAACTGGCTACCTTCTGTAACCATGCAAAGGTCCCAGAGGTGGGACTGAGACTCCAACCCAGCCACAAAACCTTTGACCTACAATTTGTCCTGCCTGCAAGATGTGCTGAGGAGGCATAGAACTTATGGGAGTAGCCAATCAATGGCTGGTCCAACTTGAGACCCAAACCACAAGAGGGAGCCCATGTCCAACACTGCCTTGATGGCCAGGAACTAAAGACAGAATAGCCCAGACACATAGGATAGAAGAAAACACAACTGGAAAAAAAAAAGTCAATGAATGGCTAAGATCAAAAACTCAGGTGATAGTAGATGCTGGCAAGGATGTGGAGAAAGAGGAACACTCCTCCATTGTTGGTGGGATTTCAAGATGGTACAACCACTCTGGAAATCAGTCTGGCAGTTCCTCAGAAAATTAGACATAGCATTACCTGAGGACCCAGCTATACCACTCCTGGGCATATACCCAAAAGATGCTCCAACATATAACAAGGACATATGCTCCACTATGATCATAGCAGCCTTATTTATAATAGCTAGAAGCTGAAAGAACCCAGATGTCCTTCAGCAGAGGAATGGATACAAAAAATGTGGTATATTTACACAATGGAGTATTACTCAGCTATTAAAATCAATGGATTCATGAAATTCTTAGGTAAATGGATGGAACTAGAAAATATCACCCAGAGTGAGATAACCCAATCACAAAAGAACACATGGTATGCATTCACTGATAATTGGATATTAGCCCAGAAGCTTGAAATAACCAAGCTTCAACTCACAGACGACATGAAGCTCATGAAGAAGGAAGACCAAGTGGGGATGCTTTGGTCCTTCTTAGAAGGAGCAACAAAATACTCAAGGGAGCAAATATGGAGACAAAGTGTAGGACAGAAACTGAAGGAGGGACCACCTGGAGACCATTCCACCTGGGTATCCACTCCATGTGCAGTCACCAAAGGTAGACGCTGATGTGGATGTCAGGAAGTGCATGCTGACAGGAGCCTGCTATAGCTGTTTCTTTAGAGGTCTTCCAGAGCCTGACATACTCAGAGGCAGATGCTCACAGCTAACCATTGAACTGATCAAGGGGTTCCCAATGGAGGAATGAGAGAGAAGACTGAAGAAGCTGAAAGGGTTTGTGTCCCCATGAGGAGAGCAACAATACCAACCAACCAGAGCTCCCAGTGTCTAAACCACTATCCTGGGAGCACATAGGGAGGGACCCATGGTTCCAGCTGTATATGTAGGGGAGGATGACCTTGTTGGGCATAGGTGGGAGAGGAGATCCTTGGTCCCATGAAGGCTGGACACCGAGTGTGGGGGAATTCGAGAGTGAGGAGGTGGGAGTGGGGAGGTAGGTGGGACCACATCCTCATAGAAGCAGGAGGAGGGGGGATGGGATGGGGCTTCCTGGGCATGGGGGAAAAAATGGGATAAGGGGATAACATCTGAAATGTAAATAAAATATCCAATAAAAAAGGAAAAAAAAAAGAAAAAATGTCAGTGACATCATTCCCAATGATTTTCTGCTAAACTCATAGATACTTGCCTAGCCCAACTGTTATCAGAAAGCCTTCATCCAGCAACTGATAAAAACAGATGCAAAGACACACAGCCAAACATTAGACAGAGCTTGGGGAATGTGGAAGGAAAGGGGGAAGAAGGATTGTAGGATCCAGAGGGGTCAAGAACACCAGGAGAACATGACCCATAGAATAAACTAAGCAAGGTTCATACAGGCTCACAGAGACCGAATTGACAATCACAGAACCCACACAGACCTGCACTAGGTCCTCTGCATGTATGTTATGTTTGTCTATCTTGGTTTTCTTGTGGAACTCATTACAGTAGAGATAGTTTGTCTCTGACACTTTGCCTGCTCTTGGGACCATTTTCCTCCTCCTGGATTACTTTGTTCAGCCTTGATATGTGGTCTGGTACCTAGTCTTACTGTAACCCATTATGCCAGGTTCTATTGATATCCCTGGAAGGCCTCCCCTTTTTGGAGGGAAACAGAGGAGGTGTGGATCTGGGGAGAGGGGAGGTGGGAGGCAGTGACTGGGAGGAGTGGTTAAAGGGGAAATGGTGATTGAGATGTAATTTATGAGAGAATAAGTAAAAAAGAGAGACAGAGAGAAAATAGATTTATGTGAAACTATTACACTCTACAGCAGCAACCAAACACTTAGGTACATTAATTCTTACCTTCCATGACTGAAACATATTTTATACAGTTTAATTCCTTGTGAGTTATATCTTTTATATCTTTTTTTACTTCAAGAAGCTGAAAGTACTTCTGAAAATAAACTGGAAGAAAACAGAACCAAAACCACTCATTTTCATGATAGAAGTCTTTCTAATTTTTTTTATTTACTGATACAAACATCTACAACATCCACATTTCTAAGTAGGCAGATCCTATGATTCCCATCACCCTGTAGTCAATGGACTCCTCGGTCTTCTCATTTGAAACCACAGATACATTCAGAACTCAAGAAACATACATGAGTGACTTAAAATGCAGGAAGGGTCCATTATCATGGCTCGAAAGGGAGTGAGCCATACCCTTCAATGCTGAATATAAGATGAAAATGCTAATTCTTCAAGGAGATGAAGCAGAGACAGACATTCATAGTTAAGAATGTGAACTACCTTCTTGTTGGGAGGAAAGGGGGTTTACTAATTCTGAGTAGTTATAGGTTATTTTAGAATGGGAAGTAAGAAAAAAACTAACAAGTATTTACAGGGCACGCTTTCTTCCTCAAACTCGCATCTTTTCGACTGAGTTGCTCCTTCATGTACCACACTGTCTCTCACTCAGAATCAAACTGAATGACCTCTCCCTCTACATCTGAATTTCTTCACTTTCTTGTCTTTGTCTCCTTATTCCATCACTTTTTCTTCCTCTGTTTCACCAACACCAGTTCTGAAATGGGTATTCAGTAATATCCCAGGGCCCTCATTGCCCTTCTTGGTATTGGACTTCAGTTCTCTTTCTCCTCAGCCTTTGAACCATTGCTCTGTCAGGTTTTGCCTCACCTTTTGGCCATCACTTCTTGCCTTCTATAATCTCCTCTCCCTCCATTGACCCCTTCAGAATTTAACACTTTCTACAATCCTGTCATTATGCTCTCTCCTAATACAAAATTCTTCTTGAGTGATGCCATATATTGCTATGGTCTTGTCTGTTGCCTATTTACATGGTATTTTTTGCTCACTAAACACAAATATGCCTAAAACTCAACTCAATATGTCTAAAACTAAAGTCAACATCTACCAACTTAAACATATAACTTATCATATATTCTCTATCTCTTTGATCAACTCCATAGTTGGTGACTTTTCACTATGTGAATGTTGAAGTCACATGTTCTTGGAGCCCTTATTCCCTGGATCTCCATCCTCATCAGGCATTTATTCCCTGGGTCCTATTCTCTTTACATCTCAAAGCTGCCTCCTCTCATGTTCTCCAGACACTTATCTCATTATCAGGTTACAGATTAGCCCTCTTGCTTATTTCTTTGTCCTAATAACTCTATTTTCAGATTCCCAGAAAAAACACAATCTATAACATAAATATGGCTACACGAATTCTTTATTTGAAACACTACAATGGTTCTCCATGGCACTGGTGGTTTGCAAAAAATTACCACAGTTTTTAACTTCTGTATTCACACACCATTGCAATGTGGTTTTGCAACATTTCCAGTTCAAATTTAAAAAAAAAAAAGTGAAGTCTCATGTGTGAGCTGACCAAGAGAATGTGCAAAATCAGCTCTAATCAGCTCTCTGGTTCAATTTTTTGAGCACCTGACTCATGGTCACCCTCAATCTTAGAAATCTCCAACCTACCATGTAAACAAACCCAAGCCCTCCTAAGGACTCAAATAAAGTTGAGCCACACTGTTAGCCATTCCAGCTGGCCTCTTCTTCCTCAGAGGCTGAGTTGCTGGGACTGGTAACTGATCACACATACATGACTAAGTTCAGCTAGGGCCAAAGGAGCTGCTCAGTGAAGATCAGTCGAAATTGCCAAACCATGGAAGCATAAGACAAATAAGTACGTGCATTAATTCACTACATTTATACTGATATATTAAGGAAAAACAATACTTGATTTAAAAACACTCTTTAGGAGAAAGAACTTTTTTATCTAAGGGTGGACAACATGTGCTCTGCATCCTGCTTGTGTCTACCTAGGGAAATGTCACTGTTTCCTCACTTAGCACTGTGTGCTTCAGCCATTCACCCCTCTGTGACATTCTTGGTACTCACAGTTCTAGGTGTCATCTCTTCTAGGAAAACTATCTCAGCGCAACACTTCTCAGACAACGTTGTAGACATTACTTCACTTTTTTCTATGATTCTTTTACATAACCCATGCTAGCTCCATACTTGCTGTCCTATCTAACACTCGGAGTAGCTGGGATAACAAGAGTGTGCCATTGTACCTGGCTGGCAGTGATTCATTGACTTCCTCTAAATTTCTTGAGAACACAGTCTGTGTTCTTCCTGGACTTGGTCTGTCTAACACATCGTATGATATACATTAATGGATGCTATTACTATATTAATACTATTAATTAATTCTGAGTGAGCAAATGAATGAGTAGAACATCCTAAATATACTGCTTTTTGTGTATTTTTAAGTTTTTCATAAATGCTCAAATGTTTGATGAAGAGAAATCCATCCATTTGCTCAGGTTGCTTTTAGATTTCTCATAATACTGGCCAGGACAGAAGTAGCTAGGAATTAGCTGAAGAACTCCTCTTCGATAATTTCTTCCTAACTCCTTCTTGTCCACAAGCTCACACTAGATGAAGAAGCCCTATACACATAAAGCTTGATATCTTGATGCCAATGAGAAAACGTAGATTTGACCTCTCAGTCTAATAAAGACAACAGTCCACAGAGTTCACTCCACAGTCCCACACAGACACTCATACATGTGATTCAGTTTCCCTACTGAGAATAGATTCCATTTTTCCCCAAGACAATAGTTAAATTCAATGACAAAGGTAAAGTCACAGTGGAATCCTTCTAATTATTTTCCCCAAAGAATGTTACTTCATATTTCCACTAAATGCCAACTGCTACAGTGGAACCTTTCTTCATCTAAGGCAGTCATACCCTACTGATTCATCTGGAATACTTACTGATAAAAGCAACTAAGAATGTGATTGCCAGCAGCAGGAGAAGTACCAGCAGGCATGTAAAAGGCAGCGAGGGGGAAACAGGCTTACTTAGATGACAGATACGTTTCTCTCTGGGAGCTGGAAGGAGAAGCACATTCATTTCATGAAAAGTATGTTCCATCCTTGTTTCTTCTTTTCCACTCTCATCTTCACCCTTTTTTTTTCTAGGACACATAATTTACTAATAGAATAAACATTTTAAGTAACAAAAAAATAAAAGCACAAACTTACACTGTTAGAATAACTGGCACTAATATTTTGAGATCTGAAAAATACTTTGTGTATATATATATATATATATATATATATATATATATATATATGTATATGTATATGTATATGGTTCATATCCATTCATGGAGGATTTTTTGTTTGTTTGTTTGTTTGTTTGTTTGTTTGGGGTTTTTTGTGAAGGGAAGTGGAATGAGCTAGGATCTCACTGTGTAGTAGTCCTGGATGGTCTGCAACTCATTATGTAGACCAGACTGGGCTCAAATCCTCAGTGATCCTGTCTCTGCCTGATCCCCCTGTCTCTGCTTCCCCAGTGCTAGAATTAGACCAAACCTGGCCCTTGCAGTAAATCTTGAAAGTATGTACATATAATGTTTTCCCACATGACGATACAACATAAATACTGCCACCTGGCCTATGACTTTTCTTTACATCAGTATTGTTAATATATTTTCCTGTGCTTTCTTGGTGTTCTTTACTGTGGATTCAGCACTGTATAGTTAAATAACTTACAGGCTGCCAAAACATTAAAGATACATATATAATAACAGATAAATATTTCTAATTATGGTCCACCACATTAGCATAAGGTCAATCTGCTAGCCACCATCACATGGCTAGAAACTTCCTGGACTAAGGTACAATTTACTGGCACAGCACCTGCCTATCAAGTGAGAGGCTCTGCTCTGATCTATAGGATAAATGGAAAAAAGTTCCTTCAAGATAAAATCTCAACACAGAAACAGTCTTCATGAAGTCACAAAATACTGTCAAGCACAGAGGGAAGAAATTACTATTAAATAATATTATTTCATTTTCAGAAAAAAATGTATTTATGATCATTTATATAGAGCAGGAAATGTAGCAAGATTCAAGGTTTAGTTTCTTCAAATGGCAAAAGCAAAAGCCATGCTGAGAATGCTTTTCCTTCACACTATACAACTCTACAGCTCTTCAAGTCAATCTAAAAACAGTTTAAGTATATGAGAATTCAGTAAAATACCAGATGGGAACACTCAAAGAATCGGTCACAAATACCACCCAACTTTTCGAATGACCATCCTCCTGTATACATTAAATACAGAAAGGGTGTTTTGGTTTGGCTTGTTTTTTTTACCTGCAGGACATCTTGAGAAGGGGCCCGAAGAGTTGGATTCATTTGTGATCCTCAGTTCTGCATAAGTGATTTCTGAAGCCATATCAAGAAAAGACCTGCCTCCCACAGAAAGCGCACCTCATTCCCTCTCTAATGCTCTGTAGTTTGTGAGAACCAATCATAGTGATAAGTTGTTATGTCACACATGAATGAAAGAAGAGCCATGACTCACTAGGATAAACCACATGAGAACAAGAAACCACAGCACGGAATCACTCAGGTCACACAGGGGAGATGCAAACTCTTAATACAAGAAACAAAGAATTGTAGTCTTCAAACCCATTCAGGAAGATATGTAAGTACTAAAAAGTGGGAACTCAAAAGGGGAAGGAAAGAAATAGGAAGAAGGGAAAAGAGGAACCATGCTATTAGAGAACTCTGTCCTGAGACACTCGCAGCAAACATACATTTGTGCACTTCTATATGCCGATGTGGTTTCAGGCAAACCAGACACATGAGCAAACACTTAAGGCACAAATTGATTTTGACTGAACAGGCAAATTGTGATACCACACTCTAGAGGACTATGGGCCCTCTCCATTGTGTGGGCTCCTACTTTTAACTCAGCTGCCTACAGTGTAGGGAAGGCAAAGCTAACATCCTGTTTCTTCTGAAGCTGCTTCTCTGAGCACTCTGTCTCCGGCCACAGGTTCATGACTAGCTGCGTGGGGACTTCCCACTCACTTTACTACTGGCCACATCAAGAGCTCCTGAAACAGCTCTGGTTAGTAGCTGTGGGAGGACACTGTCCTCCCTTGTGCCTCTCTTCCCTTAATCCCTGCACTCCTCAGCACAAGCTCTAAGTGATCAGTGCTCTGTTGAGAATCGTTGGGAGAATTAAATGGATCAGAGTACAAGAGGGGACACTTACATTAGTTGGAGAGGATGAGATGATTTGAGTCCCACAAACATCTTCCAGCTCATAGCCACATGCTCAACCTTTAGTTTTTCCAAATAGTTCCCTTCTTTGAATCTCTTCCAGTTATTCCAATGTTCCTACACATAATGAGCAAACAGCACGTGCATGCATGAGAAAAATGCACAGAAACACACACTTAGTTGTTTACTGGTTTTCTCTTGTTTTTCTATCCAAACATACTGAAAACCATAGGTTCACACTATTACCCTCATTTTAATATAATCCCACAGGTTTCATTTTATTTCCCAAATTTCAGCATTTCTAACCACATCTATGAGTAAAAGCTAATATATATGATCATTATCTCTATCTCAAACTCCCAAGTGGTAATCTCTTAGATGTTACCCATCTCCTGCCCACAACAGCACCCACCCTTCACTAAGAGGCCTGTCCCTTCTAGATGAGCTCCAAGCCTCAGGTGAAGCCTTCCTTCCTTCCTTCCTTCCTTCCTTCCTTCCTTCCTTCCTTCCTCCCTTCCTTATGCTGGAATTTCTTACACAGGACCAGACACCTTGCTCAAGTTTTGGCGTCCTGGCTGTGGAAAACCTCCTTTAACTTGCTTGTGCTCTGACTCCTGGTGCTGATCTCTGAAGAGATTCCATTCAGCCTCTCTAGGACTTTAGCTCTCCACCAAGGTCACCTTGATGAGCAGAAGTCCTATCACCCTGAAATGTATTGAGTGGCCATACAGAGATAAGCAGACAGCATCCTTACCTTGCCCGTCTCTAAAACACACACCAACACTTCCTCTGCATAGACACTCTCCTCATCCTACTTGACTGCTAACAACCAATGCCAGGTCATCCACAACCAGGCAAGAATACTCTCCTTACCTTGATAGACAGTGAGCTTTCCACCATGTACACTATTTGCCCATGCCTGGTCTACACTCTACAAGGAAACTTGTAGTGAGAATTTGGGAATTTTGGTTACTTAAAAAAAAAACAAAATATAAGAATATATTTTATTTTAATCCAAGATGGGATTGCTTCAGACTCTCCACAGCAGCTGTGATTAAACTTCTACTCTAGTGGTAATATAATTTTGCCAGTTTCAGATAGTATCTGCTATTGTGTCATGCTTGGAATTCTGGGAACTTTTCAGAGGGCATGTAAATTCTAGAGCCCTGATAGGCAGGTTTCATGATTCTTTGAGGGTTGAGGGTGTGGTTTTGTAAATTGTCATGCTCAACAAAGAAAACAGAAAGAAATTTGATTCAAGGATCTCTGTCTCTCTCTCTGTCTCTCTCTCTCTGTGTCTCTGTCTCTCTCTCTGTGTCTCTGTCTCTCTCTCTGTCTTTCTCTGTCTCTGTCTCTCTCTCTGTCTCTCTCTCTCTCTCTCTCTCTCTCTCTCTCTCTCTCTCTCTGTGTGTCTGTGTGTATGTGTTTGCCTCTCTCTCTCTCCCTCCCTTTCTCTCTCCCTTCCTCTCTCCATTTCTCTCTCTCTTTCTCTCTCCCTTTCTCTCTCTCTCTCTCTCTCTCTCTCTCTCTCTCTCTCTCTCTCATCTATCCTTTTTCTCCTATCTAATTACAGTGGGTGAAACAAGAAGGAGCAGAGATAAAGTATAGGAAAAAGAATAACCCACAAAGTAGCAAAAACAGATAATTAAAAATAAAAGACAATTAAAAATAAGTGGCACCTCAACCTCGGGCTCAAAAATTAAAGATAAAAATGGGAAATTTGACTTCAAATGGCATAATGGAAATGGCAGGGGAGAGATATTGGTACTTTGTTTTAAGAAGCCAACAAAAAGTTTATTGCAGCTGCTGCTGCTGGGATATCCCCAGCATTGCTCCCAGAAGGATTTTATGTTTTTAATATCTTCATATACTTTGGTTTTTAAAATGTTTGAAAGACTGCCTGAGGAGTTGTTAAAATTGTGGCTGGAAATGGAGGGGCACAAAAATACAAAAAAAGGGGGAGGGGAACAAAAGGGGTCAGCCTACTCCCATGTTTCTGAAAGGATTATAGAGTTGGCTATGTGACTGGAAAAACTGTGAGTGGAGGTGAAAGCACAGGGGAGCAAGAAGCACTGAGAAGGAAAAACAAAAAGGGTCAAACCCAGTGACTGAGCAAGAGAATGGGAATTTCCTACAGGAAGAAAGAGGAAAGAGACTGTGTCAGAGAATGGTTGGGTCAGAGAAAAGCTCAAAAAGCAGGAGGACAATCTGATGAAACCAGCCATTTTGAGAGAAAGGGTTAATCTCTATTCAACTGTGCTGCCAGAGTGTGAGGAGGGGAAGCCTGGGATTATGAGACCACCTCAGCTTTCCCAAAAGTCATGCAACAAATGCCTGGTAATGGTATGGAGCTAGGTTATAACAGGATAGGAGGGTATTCTATAGAAATGATACATCTTACCCATTTCAAAGAAGCCATTATGTCATATGAGATACACTCAACTTATATGAAGCAAATTCTAAATAACTGAGCTACTCAAAATAGAATTATACCCCAAGACTGAAAGAGATTGGTGACAGATATACTAGAGGCTGGTCCCCAGTTGTAATGATTAGCATGGTAGAGGGAAGAAGCAGAAAATATTGAACAGTGAAATGGAGCAAAGAGAATGAATATAGCAAAAGATTAGTAGCTAGGTGTAGGGCAGTATTCTAATATACAAAAACAGGTTCAGTTTGATGACACTACTATAGAACAATGTCACTTAGCAGCTTTAAGAGCTTGGGACAAAGTTGTACAACGCTCTGGAGAAGTCATCCCTGTTTTGTTTTTTGTTTTTTGTTTTTATACAAAGATTAGTCTCAGGTAGAAACAAAGCTGTATCAGACCCTATTGTGGTAATTATTTGAAATTGGCCACTTGTTAATCCAACTATCTAAGCTACAGCGGCTCTGCCTAGCCCAGCTGCCATATTTCTCGGCCTGAGGCCACGTGCGCACTGCAGCTAGAATCGGCCCACACACTAGATGCCAGCATGAGAGATGGCTCTGCCAATCTTCCACACTGTCTCCGAAAGGCAGAGAGAGCATTGACCAGACCATTCCACCATCCATGAGGGCCCAGTAAGAGAATGAGACTCTAATTTTTATGGATTAATCAAAGGCTTTATATGTTTGATAATGATTAATAACAAGATGCCCATAAAAAGAGAGTTGTATCTCAATTAGCTAACCTAATTATAAGTTTATAAGTTGTTCCTCATGAGTGCTCTCCATACCTGTGTGGTTCTCCACCCTCCTACATCTCTGCCCTCTCTAGCTCCTCCTCTTCCTTTTTTCTCTTCTTCTCCCAACTCCTCCTCTTCCTCTCCTATTCCTCCCACCTTAGCTCCTCCTACAAGACCCTGACACAACGCAGGTGTTGATAGAGAACTTGGCACTTGAAAATGTGAATATCAAGTGTAAAAACTTTATTAGACCATTAAAGGCATGAGCAGCAGCCATGGTCAAATGGATAAGGGATATGACTGATATTGGTTCTAACATGTACCATGCTAATGTAGGTCAAGCTATATAGCTAGAGTCTCTAATATCAAAATGCTCTGTGCTTCAAATGCAGGAAATATGGTAATTTATGGAGAGACTGTGACAAAACCACTGAAATCTCAGATCTCAAAATGCCTAGTGCCTTAATAATGGGGAAATGTGCTCATTTCTAACAAAATATAAAAACAAACCATCTCTAAGGGCAGTGGTTCTTCTCAATATAAAGAAGAGAGAAGTCATAGGCTTTCAGGGGTGTGCAGGCAATGTGGCAAGGGTTGTCATTGGACCAATTAATGAAAGTCCAAAAGAGACATTCAAAGTAATTTCTTACCATCAGGAAAAGGACTTGGGGGCCTAGCTTGAGGCCCTGTAGCAAGAAGTAAATGAGCCAAATTGGAATGGAACAACAGCAGCCAGAAATATTGCATTATGGAAAAAAAATCTGGAATCAAATCATTCTGTATACTTTAAGGAAGTGTTAACACCACAATGGAAGCCAGTGAAAGTTTTGCATTAGGAATATGTATTAGTTTAAATTTCTGTAGCAAATGAAAAGTTCTGGCCGGGTGGTGGTGGCACACGCCTTTAATCCCAGCACTTGGGAGGCAGAGGCACGCAGATTTCTGAGTTCGAGGCCAGCCTGGTCTACAGAGTGAGTTCCAGGACAGCCCAGGTTATACAAAGA